CTCTGGAGAAAGCGTTAGTGCATGTCAAAGATATAGTTCCCAGAACGTCACAAAGTAATTGTGTCTACAAGATAAAGTGTTCAGAATGTGATGCATGCTATATAGGGGAGAGCAGTAGGCAGGTGAAGGTCAGAGTGAATGAACATAGACTATGCACGAAACATCCACCTAGAAATGAAGTAGAACAAAAAAGTCTAGAAAAAAGATCGGCTATAGCAATGCATGCTATAGACAGCGGACATAAGATTGATTTCGACAATGTCGAAATTCTTGGAAGAGGATTTCATTCACATAAAGAAAGATTGACTTCTGAAGCCTTGCACATCTTAACCATATCGAATGCAGTGAATAGGAAAGAAGGGATAGACTTATCACCTATATGGCAAACTCTTATGAAGCAAGACAGATGAAAAAATCAATAAACAGTCTATGAGCCTCCATGACCTTTTAAAATATGTAGGATCATGTTTATTACATATGAATTCACGTATTTTCCATATGACAAATAACATACACACACACACACTCATACAAAACTAATCTGTACAAATTAACCATAGAAGAGTGAACACAACAACAACTTGACATTAGTCATTATAAATATATGTGATGACTGCTTACATATTTTCTATTGGTTAAAAATGTTCATGGACCTTCAAATAAACTGACTTCAATTTATGTAAATTTTTGACTATATATTTTGATGATTAATAATAATCCGAATAAATCTGTTGAAGAAGCTGTAGCTTACACAGCGAAACGTTCAGAAAAATCTTGTTTTGATTTTCTTAACACGCTGGGATTAATTTAAATAATTTATAATGATTCAATCGGACTCGGCGCTCAAATTATTCCAGGAAGTTCGTAGCACCTACTGCCTGGAAACCTATAGTTTGACCGGATAGTTGCAAAATAATTGAGTGCTGACTGCATCAAACACCTTACCCTCATTACTGGTAAAGGTTAAGGATAAATTAGAACAAAAAACCAGCAGAATTTTATATACGAGATCAATAGTGGGGATTGTAACGCCGTATATGTAGGAGAAACTTCCAGACAGGTAAATATAAGAGTAAAAGAGCATAAACAATGTCTAAAGGTTGTTCGAAAGACCTCTGCAGACTTGAAGAAGCTAGAAAACAACTCAGCGATTGCACTGCATTCAATAGAAACGGGACACAAAATCGACTTTGATAAGACTAAGGTTTTACAGAAAGGTTTTGGTTCATATAAAGAAAGACTGACTGCAAAAGCCCTGCATATATGGGTGAATCCCAACAGTTTGAACAGACGTGAAGGTGTGATGTTAGCTGATGCATGGCAAATCCTGACTAATAAATAAGTTGGATATGTTTTCAACAACTAGTCACACTTGATCAAATTCCCGATTGTCTACGTCTTTTTATAGCGAGAATATCAAATTTATAAAATTATATTATATTTGTAAAAAGATCTCAATTATTTTGAAACTATCCGGTCAAATCTTGATCACAGCTCATATGAGAATAACATATGTTTTATGACTGTTCACCCATACGCACCATTGTATACTGCATATACACACATATTTTAACAAAGGTAGACTAATTTTGAAAGTCTGAAGTCAAATTTTGATCACAGTTCATATAAAATTTTTTGTTTTGTTTTGTTTAGTATACCTATTGATAGCTGTTTCTTGATTCACATGACAGGACAAACAATTTAAAACAAGAGATGTATTTTTATGTATAAACATACTATTTTATTTATTTATTATACATGCTGATGCCTGTTGCATGACTGATGATTGGACAAAGTTTAAAAACAAGAGTTGTTCCTGTTATGTTAATTTCGATTAATTTCCCTAAAGAAGTTCGGACCAGATTGCCGAACGAAACGTAGGAATTAATCGCTTCAATTTCGCTGAGATTTTACAAATATAATTTTATAAATGTCTACTTCTCACTCGGCGCTCAATTATTTTGCTACTATCCGGTCAAATCTTGATCACAGTTCATATCAAACAAAGTAGCATCATAATTACTGAGAAGATTGAGATATTATACAATTAGGGGGTAGAAATGTAGAAATAACAAAAATAGACAGAATGTTTGGATAAAAGATGTCAATCTTTTCAGTAATTATGATGTTACTTTGTTTGAGTTTTATCCGTCCCCCTGTTTATTATAGCATTTTAAATCCTAATTGTAATTTCATTAATTTAACCCTTGACCGGAGATTATTCTGGGACTTTCCAACCCATTTATTATAAATACACGAATGTACAGCCTAGTTGATGATTTCGTCGTAAAGAACATTTTCTTCGCTGCAACTGTCTTTTTATTATTATTCCCTATGATCAAATAGTATTATTTACTTATCAGATAAGTTAACTGATAATGCTATTCCATTCAAAATCGTAACCAACCAGTTCATTTATCTAACAAACAATAAAAACAAACTATTTATTTTAATTTTACATGTAAAGTAATTGGACATTTAATTATCATTCACTTAATTCCGCAGAATAAAATAATCAGACGTATAGAAACCATCAAATCTCACAGAAAAATTTATTTATTACATTAGTGGATTATGAAAATATTAAAATACACGTACACACATATACACCATTTATTAAAGAAAAAGGATAATTTAAAATCCCAAGAACTGACAACAATTAAGACTGTGTATAACTCTATTTAAATTTCATATGCAAATTCTGAATTCCAATCTCGACGAAATATATTTTCCACTTGTTGTCGTATACTAATAGGTTTCGGTATACAGAAATTTTCACACTGTTTTGGTTGAATTCGTTCACATGATGTTTCATTGCTTTCTTCATAGATGAATGAAACTCCACCAGTAAAAAGGAAATAATCACCAGACCAATTCGATGTACCTAAATGTATGTGTAAAATCAATAATCATTTTAAAAGATAGGAAACATTTCTTTGCTATTACTTTAATAATTATAAGCAGCAATGAATTAAATATTGCATTAAAAGATGTGATAAAACTTAAGAAGATAATTCATTTATTTCGAGTTCAGTTACCCAGTAACTGGGTATATGAGACAAATTATGTGACAGCTGATGATACCACTCAGTCACTCAGACTGAAGTCAAGCGTTGACTTAAGTCAATGATCCACATCTTCACACTTATGAAAGTAATTTTAAATTGTAATTCGCTTACAATATTCTACAAAATTCTAGAGCAAACTGGCTTCCACACTGTCTTTCCATTCCTTGAGTTCCGAGAGGGCTGCAGGTCTGAAGCCTTGGAGTTTCAGTGGCAGTCTTGTTGTCATTACGCGGAGTGGGTTGCTACTCTTACGCCTAACTTGCCCTCCTTTCTGAGCTTACTATCAGCTGGTAAACTAAGTGAGGTTTAGGAATTTATCAGCTTGGAATCCACCTTCTGATTACTTGAGTGACTGGCTAGCATTGGACGACTGAACCTCAGACGCAGTTTTCACATAACTAAAATAAATGCAAGACAGAAGAAAAAGAAACGCATCTTTGCGTCCATGTTCAATTTATCTCTGTTTACAAATTCAACTTTATTTCGCAGGACAATAAACATTTCTCCATAAAACTGTGATTCCAGGCGAAAGATAGATAACTAAAGCAGTTTAGATTTTCACTTCACCTGAACCGTAAAATACCTTGACCAACTACAATGGTGTGAATAGAAGACACGTAAACATGGATTTGTCAAAACAATAGCTGAGTGTTCACATCAAATTTCCATTGAAATTGATTATATTTATAGATGAGTTTCAACTAATTGACTGTTTAGGGAGATACTGAAGTACTTCAAAGATATTAGTGATCGGTAAAAGTCTGCTTGTGAACACAGCAATAAATGTCACTCTCTATCGTCAGTGGCCTTGGATGTTAGCGTTTATTCAACCGAGTTTTGCGGCGTCATCGTATTTATCCAAATCATAAAACTCTTAAACGTCATACACTTAATAATATAGCTGCCATTCGTTCGCGGATTTATGATTTAGAAAGAAATATCACACGGAGATCAAATGTACTGAGCGTACTTTCATCTGAGATTCGTATACAATTCGAAGACTATGTTGCTGTGGTGATTAAAAGCAGATGCTACAGTGCCACTCTCAAATTGAAGAATCTACTAAAGCCGACCGAATCAAGTGGGGAGTTCCCGAAATCCACTGAAAATATGTAATTAACTACACTTCGATTGATTTGAGTCGTACGCGGATGGAAATTTTATCATATAGCTCGAAATTCTGTATCCTTCCATAGAATGGAAAGATACTGCATGATCACGTGCAGTTTGAAAATCTAATCAATCAGACAAAGGATCTGACAGTAAATTCACCAGAAGACCTCAATCATTTCAAGTCATCAGTGCTAAATTGTGCTCATCAGTTCATGAAATCAAAACTGAAACTGCTTCAGCATCTCACGAAAGGACATTTCATTCAATTAAAGGATTTAAAGAAAAATGAGAAGATCCAACTAACACGACCAGATAAAGGTGCAGGGATTGTAGCAGTGGATTGGAAAGATTGCAGTGACAAAATGCAAAACATCCTGTCAGATGAGACAAAATTTCAGAAACCTGAATGTGAGAAGAACAAGACAAAAATGACAGAGGAACAAATCACACAGGTTCTTAAACTTAGGAAGGATGATTCAGCATTGACAACCAAGCTAAATGAAAGGTTAAGACCTTCTGGATCAATCATTCCTCGACTCCATGGCCTACCGAATACATAAATCTGGATTACCAATGCATCCCATTTTAGACATGGAAGGTTCATCGTATCATTATTATGTTGCAAAATAAAAAGCAGAACTCTTAGAACCATTAAGAAGGTAAGTATGTACCCATTCTTTGTATGACACTTTTGAATTTGTTAAGTGCGTTAATGATATTAATGTTACTAGGAAAACTATGTTATCACTTGAAGTATGCTCACTTTTTATCAATGTTCCATTAAATGAAACTGTATGCTTCATTTGTAATTACATAGACTTACATAATGTCAACGTAGGAATTCCCATATCATACCTAAAAAAGCTAATAATTCGATGTACTCTCGACGTCTAATTTCTTTTCAACAATGAAATCTATAGACAGAGAAATGGGGTTGCTATGGGCTCGCCACTTGGTCCATTGCTAGCGCACTTATTTTTGGGTAGTATGGAGAGCAGTACTGTCACACCTGCTATAAAGGAGATTACCTTCTACAAAAGATACGTGGATGACAAGTCCATTATATGCGACGAGAACTGCAGCTTGAATGACATCCTGAAAGTATTCAATAACAGTCATCCTGCTATCCAGTTCACCTTAGAGAAAGAAACCGAAGGAAAAATATATTTCCTTGATGTGCTACTAACAAGGACAACCGACGGATCTTTGAAAAGATCTATTTACAGAAAATCGACATGAACGGGAAAACTGACCAATTTTTACAGTTTTTTCCCTATGGATAGATAAAGGTTTCTAATCTGTTCTCTCTCAACACGGGTTCGGAGAATTTGTAGTGAAGATAGGGTTGATAATGAACTCAAACAACTGAAAGAAACCTACATAGAGAACGGGTGTCCACTAATCTTCGTAGAGGACAATAGCAAAGTACGTGGACGAAATGCAGAGATTGATAAGGTAGCTAAAAAAGGGTTGCACCTAAACGTAGAATGAAATGAAATACTTAGAAATCGTCTGACCAGGTCACTGAGAAAAAGTTCTTTGCTGCCCCTTTACAAATAATCTTCTCTAGCTGTCCACTGATGCACCTTAATGTCAAGGAAATGTTACCACGACTGTCTAGTTCCATGTGTATTTATATGTTCACCTGCTCTTGAGGAGCTAGGTACATAGGACGTTCGTCGAGAAACATAACCCGCGGCGTTCGAGAGCACATCCCAGTTTGGTCGAGCAAAGGAGAACGTAGAGGCATTAATTCATCCATATATTGCAAAATATTGTAGATACTGAGTACACAGCATATGACACATCGTTCAATATAGTCTACAAAGTCCGATAAAGTTTGCCGAAAGGGACACGAGTGCATTTGCTTTGTATAGCAGAGGCTTTGGCAATACACACATTAAGTCAGAACTCTGTATACAAAAACAATTTGTACGATCTCTTTCGTTACCATGGTCTTGATTTTACTATGTAATTCACATAACAACTTTGTTATCCTTCTTTATTTCATGTTCCATTTTTGTTTCATTTCATCTTACTTTATGTTATCATATCCTAACATTTTATCTAGTCTACTGGTTTAACAATATTTCACTCATCCTATATTTCGATGATATTATATTCACATATTCACATTTCCGGTCATCTATTTCACACTTGTCTATTTAACTTTAGGTTGACCTCTATCTATTTATTTGGTTATTCATTCATATATCTAATCAGTTTGTGACGCATAATCCTATACACACACCAATATCATTATAGCACTTTAGTATTTCCACTCGCTCTCAAACTTTAACACACACAAAAATAAAACACTGACTAAAGTTTTACTCTATTTTCTAATTGGGCAATACTCACCAATGAAGGATGCTTTATCAGTGACCATATATTTATTATGATTCACACGAGCAAATGGTATCTTCTTCTGTGCTTCAGTATACGAAGGTACAACGAAATGGCGCTATAGGCAATAAAAACAGTAGTTAAAATTTTTAAAAAAAATTGACAAAATACATAGAAAAATGTAAAGCTATTGAGATAAAGCAACAAACATTCGTATATACTTAACAAGAAGTTATCGGAGAGTTTCGGCTTTTTGAATAATACTGACTGATTTACTGATCACCTGTCCGTAACTGCATTAGTAGTTGCTACAAAATAAGTATCAGTCAAATGTGACTATCATCCTGAGAATTTACTGAGTTGTTTAACTTGACAACTAGTATTAATTAATTTGTGTTTATTCCTCCATCAGAACTTAATTCTACGCAAATTATGACACAAAATTCACCACTATATTTTTGAACATTTATATGGTGCATTAACATGATCAGAATGCCAGAATTTCGGTAACGGTTGGTTTCTCACTTTGACAACTATGGATTATTACAAGTGTTAGATTTTAGGGATTTGACTGATATCAAGTTTGACCACAGATTCATATAAGTTAGAGGACCACTGGAAACCATGAAGTACTAGATAATTGTTTCGTCCTGAATCAGGATTCTTCATCTGTACGCACTCCCGGGGATTGCTGAACTCATAACTTTCAGGTTACAAGGCGAGTTCATATACCATTATTAACCACTGGGACGAAATTCAATGGTCCATAAATCCTAACTCTTGTTAATTAACGATTTTTCTTGCAACCACCAGTCAGTGTTATTGGCAAGTAGTTGTCTTCACACCCATCCCGGTGACGTCCAGTAATCACGATATCTCACTAGGACTCCAGGCAACTTTGTCCTGGAGTCAGTCACTAATCAGTCTTAGACTAATTTTCAAGTGCGGCTGAATGGTCAGCAAGCTCGCTTGGTAACGTGGATGTTCTAGGCGTGATACCCAGTGGGAATATAAGTGCGCATTCTCGAAGAGTCCCGGACCGGGACAAAACAGCTCTCCGATATTCCCTGATTTTCAATGTTTTTCTAACTGATATAAATTCTTGACCAAACTTGATGCCTACGGATAACTTAAGAAGAAGCAGAAGGAGTAATCTCGAGATAGAGTATTTTGAGTCATAAGAAAAAGATGTAAACAGGGAGGAAAATTTTCTTTTCGACGATTCATTTTCATAAGCTGTGCAGTCGTAGTTATACTTAATAAAGAATCCATAAGACCAATAAGATACTCGTAAAATTTGTCCTCGTAATCTAAGGTGTTGTCTAGATGAGATGACTAATTGGAACTTAGAAAAGGTGGCAGAAGTTGTCATGACGTAGTAAGTGTGAGAAAATCACTGATCAGTATGGTTGTATAGAGTGGACAAGAACTAGAGGAAAGACGATAAAGTGTTTTTCATAAAATCTGTATGAAAACGCAATGTTACTAATATACAGTATTAGAGTGATTGTAAAATAAGGATGATGAGAATAACAATAATAATAATAGACTTACACAATAAAAGGAAGCAAAATTATAGTGAGAACATTACTCTGGCCACGGTAAGGCGAGGGAATATGTGTGGTGCTTTTGAATGCAGAGTATTTTAGTAACCAGGTAATACACATAAATACACAACCCTATTTGAGGTTAGCGGTAATTTACGAGGGATTATACTTCAACTTAAGCGTGCACGTAGGTTGAATTCGCCGTCTGACAATTTATTTTATAAGTGCTTTTAGTACCACTTTTACCCCCATAGTATTGCATTTTGTTAACTTACCTCTAGATCTATTGATGTAAATAGTATTCAGCTGAATGGACATGTAATAATAATAATAATAATAATAATAATAATAATAATAATAATAATAATAATAATAAGTACATTACTTGACCCTGTTTTATCTGTAATAGTGTGTGCCTGGACTGCAATTAGGTGTAATCGCGTAAGTAATTAGTATTAAGTAGAATTACTTCCTTTAAGATACAATATTGTTATACATATATTTTTTATCACGGACAAATAACGCATAATTTAAGTGAAATCCTACTTACAACACGAACTACAGCCTTTCGTATTCCATTCAATGCTTTTAATGACAGCAAATAATTATTCATTGATGGTGATGTATGAGCCCATTGACTTATTAATAAACGTATTTCAACAGATCTATCAATTGCAGCTTTACGTAGAGCATCATCAATAACTGACCAAAATCTATGAGATGTTAAAAAAACAGAAATCAAAACCTTAATGTACTGATTGAAACATTTACATAAACGTATATATTATTAAAGTAGTATGTATTAAAGAAAATTTAAAATAAATGTTGACACAAGGTGAAATTTCACATTTAGTCAATATTTAAAGTGAACGTAATGTTTTATGTAATGAGCACCAGTGTTAAGTCACGTTATTTTGTATCATGTGCTCATATTAAAGATTGATTTATTGAACTTGTTTTCCATTAATTTACACAGAATTATAGTGTAATGACATTTTCCTCCAACACACGGTTAGTTGGCGTCAGTTTGATTCCTGACCGATTCACTCTTAAATCACTCACATTGGGCTAGTCAGTCCGGAAAATAGGGTATGCTGGGCGTAAGGCTTGCAACATCACCTCTGTTGAAACTTCAAAGGTTGAAACCCTGTGTTTCACTCGGAATCCAAAGAATAAAAAAATAGACAATAGGGTAGATGATGTGTTCAAATAAAATTTGTACTTGGCTTTCTTGATACTAATCAAGTCTTCAATTTACATACAAGTTTAACTCTAAATTATTTTTACGAGTTGATCACGGATTGATATCAGTTAGAGAACCATTGAAAAACAAGGAGTACTGGACAGTTGTTTCATCTTAGTTTTTTGGGAATCATCGGCAGTAAGCACCCACTGGTGTTCGAACCCAGGACCTTCTGGTTACTAGGCAAGCTGGTATACCATTCAGCCACTGGGATCCGATTCAATGGCTCACAAATTCTAACTTCAATACTTCAAAACAAGATATCCTATACAATATAGTATCTGGGTTGACGCTTCCACGGTGCGTCCCTGCAAGCAGTTTAAACTAGTCCCACGACAACCAAATAGCTTTTATTTCCTGTCCATATGGCCCCCTCCATCTCAACTTCTTACCAGCACCCAGTCTGTTGCTTCCCATTCAGGTCTCACTTTACAGCCTGTTGTGCTTCAGTTGCCAGTGTCACAAAAGAATCGTCTGTTGTCCTTATTACTCTTCTTGACTCTTGAGTTGTAGAATAGAGTCATCTCCTCCTTTCACTGTTTCTAACTGTTTCACCACTTTTCTATCCTTCATCAGTTTCCAGGTGTCTGTGGACAGCCACTCCATATCATAGCTTTTCTTCTTGCCTAAGATGTCTAAACAAGGACTGATAATGTAAAATGAAGGAGGTTCCCTCCTATGATATTCACACTTACTTTTAAAAAAAATAATAAGAAATTACATGTCACTTCATGCAAAATGGTAAATATTTTTAATGGAATTCGTTTGTAAATTCAAATAAAAATATTATATCGAACTGTAGACGCACTTCCACTCTAACTTTGATAGCCAGGTTGGATAGTGTTTCCGAGATATATATATATATATATATATATATATATATATATTGGATCAGCTCAAAGAATGAAGTCAACCAAATTTAACAAGAATAATGTAGTGCACAAAATACCCTGTTTAGATTGTTATATTCAGTTACCTAAGCTAGAAGTTCTGATGATCCAAAGGTAGACAGAATGTAATCCAGTCGAGAGATAGAAACATGAAGCAATTTTAATTAAGAGTATATACAAAAATTAAGACGCCTATTATTCCATTTCAACAACAATATAGCCTCATTTTAAAAAAAAGGGAAAAATAAAAGATCGACAGCTGAATAAACAAAAATTCACGCATACACCATCCTCTCTTATGTAGAATGAAAGTGAATCAGTAAACAAGTTGGCTGCACAGAATACTCTTCAGGATAGACAAACCAACTAAGTGAATGAAAACATTATTACATCTAAATGCCTAGGGCAAATAAAAAGTGATGAGAGGAAAAAGGATCAAATACTTTTAAAAATCGTCCAATATACGACTGGTATTAGAAGCACTCATAGCTAGG